AGGCTTTTTCTTTGATTTCCAAAAGAACATCCGTGAGGCACGTAACCGCCGACATCATCAAGTCATCAAATCATCAACTTCTGTTTCTTCCTCCTTTGCCTCAAAGTCTTACATCTCGTAAACTCATCACCACCGAAAATCCCATCCCACAGCCACAGCCATTTGCCGCCATTGACTCTTCATTTGCTTTCTTCCACCTCTTCAAGAATCCGATGCTCGCCTGACGATTGCCTCCCGCTATTGGAAATACCGCAGGATTTATGCCCGACCACGCGCCGCATCGTGCAGCATGTCGGAGATGAGGCGCGCAACGGTTGGCGGCCCGGGATGAAGTGACATATCATAGAATAAGCAAAGAAGGCTTCGGCCACCACTTCGAATACGACATCAACACCTGAATAAGCAATCCGTCAAGCCAATCTTTGCCACCGCGAGAGTGGCATTGTGGCAGACATACAAATTTGCCGTACCATTGCCCGACGTCGAATGGAAGATTGGGCCGTGAAGCGTCGCCCTGAACCAGACTTGCACCCTGGCGCATGTAACATCACAGCCGAACATTACCAGCCAGTCCTTCTTTTGCAAAGGCGCCAAAGAAACAACACGAGAACACCATGACCTGGCAATAATTGCAGATAGACGCATATCCCGCTTCTATTCATGTCGCTCATCACACATAGCACCGACCTCGCATCGCGCCGTGCATGCTACCGGGTACATATTTCCACCATTATCAGCCGCATACCTATGCCTTTGCAGAAACTCCCCGCCGTTTGATGCTGATCGGTACCCGATACCGGTGGAGCGGCTTATTTTCCTCTAAGGCCTTTACGATGATTTGACGTCCTTCCCTGAGCGAAGAGCACGGCACTCGCTTCACCGGCTTCCGCTAGCTAAATTTGCCCGGCGGCTCAGCATGGTCCAGGTGGCATGATACTCAAAGACATCTGGTCAGGACTGTCTCTGGTTACTCTGTCCTGATGAGCACAGGACAGCCTCATAGCCGGAATGAGCCACTTGCACTAGAGCCGAGAAACAGTCTTAGATGAGGCCACATCTATGGCTGACGGCTTGTGGGCAGCCTACGCCAGCGACTCAGCAGCATCTGCGTTTGATTGATGATCCATGATCATCAAATTCTTTTTGCGGTTGAGAAAGCGCTCCAAACACTAGCCGTTCGGGCGGCAGCAATTTAGACTGGCACTCTTTGGTCGCAGCGGAGAATGCACACACGATTACGGCATTGTCCAGTTCCAGACAGCGAAGAAGATTTATCAGCCGAGGGGAGCATACAGTCTCGAAGCCGGCAGCGCAATGAAGAAGTGGCCGCCAGAACAAGCTGAAAATGATACCCCGAGAGACACAAATTGTAGCTAGAGCTGCCCTGCGCTCTTAGCTCTACCCAAGCTCGCCCTGTTGCACGGCTGACGAGGGGCAAAGACCAAGTGTCAACGAAGACGTCAATCAATGTACGAGAAGCAATGTGCAGTCGAGAGAAAGCAAAATATGGCCGTAGCAGTGCGCCACCAACAACAAGAAGTCCTCACATATTCGCATGATTTGACCCGCACAAACATGCGCCCAGTTAGTACGGTTCGGTTGCTGGGCCAAGACAAGCAACCAAAAGTCCACCAGCTTTGCCATGTCAAGCGGGCGTCTATAGCATGCCGGCGCGACCTGTCTTGTCTCCGCTGGCTGTCTTTTGGCGAGTCGGTTATTACTGATAATTAGCATTCAAGACAGCTGGCTGCAAAGAGCGACGGAACAGACAGAGCATCTAATTCAGTGGGCTTTCCCCGATTTGAATGGCGCATCGCGGCCGAAAAAGGGTCATTGGGCCCGAATATTGACTGGATAGATGGGAACGCTGTGGCACATCCACACTCTGTTCATGCTCCGCATCCCTTTACGAGCATCATGGCACAACCCCCAACTTCATCAAAGGAAGAGAATGCGAGGTTCCGGTAGGTCGCGACCTACATGGCGCATCACATGGGTTGCCATACTTGTCGTCCGCTCGCCGGCCGGTGATGAGCAGTGTCAAAAAAAGCCGGAACATGTCTGGTGTCTGTACAAAATCGTTGAACGGCGGTTGATCAACCACACTTGCAGCGGCTGAATCATGGGTAAGTTGACATCCACGCTCGGCAACAAGCCGGATTTCAGACGGCCGAAGGCCGGGGTCCAGCGCAAGACCGATGGTGTGGCACAAGTCAAAATGTGCCTCGACTCGGGGGTAGGCGGTAGACCGGCGAATCGTCCCTCGGTGACGCGATTCATCGCTAGACAGGACAAACAGTGGCTGGTGCTGTTGGCAGTGTTTACTGGGCCTACGACCCTACGCAAGAGGCGAGACAGAAAGGCATGACAAGGGAGTCCAATGCAAGCGAGCACGATCGAGCCCCGTGTAGGAGCCGCTCATCGGATCACCCGTCAACAGACATGGCAGAGATTATTAGCCCAGCACTTTGTAGTCGAAAGCTTCTCACAAGGGCATACTATCACCAACGATATTGCTCCCGAGAACCAGGAGCATCCACTGCCATGAGCTAGCCCGCAAACAGACTGGAGACTGGAAGCGTTGGACCCAGCAAGCTGGGGGAGGGCGTGATGACGAAGTGCAGGGCACAAGGGCCGAGACCGCGACTCACGAGAACTCGAGACCAAGATATTGGAAAAGAGAAGAAAGAGAAGAGGGCACTGCGGTCCTTGTCCCCGGCAGAGAGGAGCTCTGTCGGTTGACTCGTCTCGTCTGCATCGCAGGCTGCGCAACACACGTCAACTTCCTTGCCAACTTTGCCCTGAGCTGAGTTGATGTGTCGTTCGTCGTATTCTCCCTAGCAAGCGGAACCTGCCCTGCAGGCAGAAAACAGCAAGGGAAACGAGTAGGAGAAGGAGGCAACGCCACAAGCTCTGTTCAGGGCTGCAGTCCAGGTTTTGGCGTCCCGAACAAGCGCCCGTGAGTCTGACGAGAGGATCAGAATCAGGACGATGGCATAATGGCAGCCTTCAGCACTGATACAGCAGTGCAAAGATTCCCTAGACGGTCGACGGCCTGCCCCTGGTCATTCACTCTTATTTTACCATCACGCTTCTTCTTCGATAACTCGGCGTAACACTTCCTCTCAGATGAGGGAAGAGGGAAAGGAAATGGGTGCAAGCCAGGAATGGTTTCCTCCCTAGCCCTAGACTAAGGCCCGGGAGAGACCCCGTCGTTCACTAAGAGCCCCCCCTGTCGATGGACCTAGCTCCCAAGTCACCCGGTCCAGGTACACACATGTTGGTGCAATTGGTTTTTGTCAACCACTACGTACGCCAATTGGTCCTCAGACCACGCCCAAGGGCGTGTCGTGTGTATGTGTGAGGGTCTCAATACCGGGGGAGGGGGACGGAGGGAGCTGGGCGGGAAGAAAAAGTAAAGATGAGGAGGAGGGAAAACGTCGAGCAAGGGCAAGGGGCAAGCCGTTAGGTTGGGAGGGACCACTGGGACCAGGCCGCTGCGAGCAAGGGGTTTGCTCTCATGTAAACCCAGGCCACTGACGCAGCAAGTGTACGAATCACACTTTCTAGCTGACGAAGCAAGCAGCAAAGTACCGGGCTCACCTTACTTCGCCTCCGGAATACATGTGGGCAAGCAACGCAACACGGAAAGAGGTGGAGTTGGGAAGTGGGAGATACCCTCGGATTGGAACGTCGACGCAAAATTGGAAGCGATCGTGGGTTCCAACGGAAGGACGAAGTCATAAGGGGAAACGACTTGGGGATGGATGTGGTTTCCTCCCATTCAGAACCTTGGTAGGGTCTGCTTGCTGCCCGCCGCCGAGTCTCCTTTTGCGCCTCGCACTTTGGTGGCGCAGTCCGTGAGAAAGAGTCAAGTGAGAGAGAGAGGGAGAGAGGGAGAGAGACAGACCTGAACTTTGGAAGGAAGTTGCCGTCTATCCCCAAGAAGGAGAAGCAAATGCGACCCAAGATGCGGCAGGAGATGCCGTGGTGCGTGGTTGCGAACCTGCGATACTTGTCGACACAACAGCAATTTACCGCGGCCTATTGAGAAGCAATGCAAGAACGTGGCTGGCACTTACCTGCTCATGAGCTGGGCCGGTATTGTCTTCCGAATAGTTCCATGGCTCTCGGCTTGAAGAACAACGTGTCGAGATTGCCTTCTCCCGTCGGCACCTGTCGTCTGATGCTGCAAACCAGCAATCCGAGCGCATCGCCATAGCCCAAGACTTCACCACGGCGCCTTCCTCCACCTCGCGCTCCGCCTTGCCAAATTGTGGCCTCGAGTATCTGACCTCGTCGAGACTCCATCGAGACCCCGTCGCGTCAAATCTGTTGCAATGGTCTGGCTATTCGCCCATGGCCGGCGGCAGGCAATCAAAGACAGCCGCGCGCACGGCACCTCCAGTCGGCCGCTTGCCATTTCCCGTCATTATATCATGGCATCAGTGCGCTCGACTTTTGCGCCTCCCTCCAAACCTCACGGGTCACAGCACCGTCCGAGGGCCGTCCAAGATGCAGAGAGCTCGTTGACAATGCAACATTCGCCGGCCCTGCGCAGTTTTCACCAAGGAACATTGCGCTAGGTAGTCTCAACACTCTTCGCTTTGTTTCTTCAGAATTGCCATTGAAGAACCTGTCGCTGTCGTTCTGCCTGTCCATTTGGAGTGTTGGACCGATCCAGCTAGCTATTGTCTACACTCTACAGCTCACCTCGCCTCGTTGCTGCATTGCCGACTCCTAGGGTGTCTCTGGCTCCGATAATACGGTGTAAAACTGGGTGAGGGCCGAGTCTAGGAGCTACTGCGTACCTACTGTACCTTGGTCAAGGGGTGGATGGGATACGGGACGGAACCTGCGTCTTGCATCCTGCGTCCGCGGCGCCTCGGCCGGCATCTTGTCTGTCTTGCCTGTCGGCTTGTCACACGGTACACCCCCAAAGACGACTCCGCGTCACATTCGCTCGAGCTTCACTGCATATGCACATGCATAAGGCACGAGCAGAACATCACAACTATTATTGCATTCCTCGCGCCTTCTCTCATTCTTCTGCGCATTCTCTCTTTCCCCCGTCCTCCTCCCCCCCTGGCGCTGGCACTTCACCAGCTTCCTGCATACATGCTCCGTCCACACACCTGAGCGAACCGGGTGGTCCAAGGGAAGGCCAATACGGCGATGACATGCCTCTGCTCATGCCGTCCCTCCTTACTATGAACGGAGCAGCTCTCCTCTTTCGTACTCCGTAACGCCGTTACCTATGTATCCGATCCAATTCATGCCACTCACTGCCTTCCTCGCCTGTTGTTCATCCATCCCATCCGCACCACGAACGCGCGAAACGGGTAGCTAGGGCTTTCGAGCTCTTTCTTTGTTCCTCTTAAGGGTCGCGTGTTGCCGTCCCTCGGGAGACAAAAGACGCCAGACTGACGCACGATAGACCAAGCTTGCCTCCGTCGCAAGCCCAGCCAGTCCTCGAGCAGCGCACTACTCTCTTAGTCTCGCGGGCGGCCCCAACTGATCTTCAACGTCGACAAACTGGCCAAAAGAAAAATCAGAAAAAAATAAAACCAAGAGAACCCCGTTCGTCGAGCAAAGGCAAGAAAAGGTACGTACGCTACGCTATCCTCCGTACCCGGCAGGGGAACAATGTGGTGTGGCACGGTACATTCATCCACCCATTTGCCCATCCATCCATGATCCAACAGAGAGGCCCATCCCTCCATCTTCATCCACACACCCTCCAAAGTTCCCGGACGCTTGGCCTGGCTGGTCACCCCCCTCCAGAAGTCCACCCTCCACTCTTCCCTACTACGTGATCGTCCCTCGCTTTGGGCACTCACATGGGGGGGCCTCTTCTTGGGCTCCCGAAACCTTGAGTCAAGCCCTGGTCCTGGTATGCAGCTATCCACCATTAGCACGGCAAGGATCCCTCCAACACGTCCGTCCCAGGGCTATGACATTCCTGCTATGCCTATTCCCCTCCCACATCAATGCCCGTCATCTCCTCCCTACATTCCATAACTTCTACGTCTTCCCATCAAAACCACCTTGCACACAGGCCAAGCGGGTTGTTCCTCTGTTCACTTCTTCCGCCGTCAACTGACTGTCAACATCAGCTTGACAGCTCGATCTCGACACCTGACCGCAACAACAATAACAACACCAACCCACTCGAAGTAGGGACTTGCGACTCGCGACTGCTCTTCAGGGAAGGACACACTCACACACACACAACGCCAGAGGCGCATATTTCTTGGATCGAATCGACTGGACCTTTGCGTGGACGAAGCACCGGCACCCATTGACCTATCCGATACCCGCACGAGGCCACAGCAAAGGCGCAGCAGGACGATACCGTATTCGAGGGGATAGGTTGGACCTGACTCTACGACTGCATATCGGACCTGGACCCGACTGAGGAGGCGGCCTCGAAACCCGACGACTATTAACCGCGCGCACATCGCTTACACGACTGTTGCTCATGCTTTTCTACGAGATCTACCAGCAGCAGCCATGGTAATGCTGAGCGACCATTCCATGCGTGCCAGCCTCCAAGTGGCCCCTCTCAAGCTTCACAAATCCAGATCCTGCGATGCCCTGTCCTCGAAACAAGACCACTACAGTTCCAAGTCGTACACTACATCACACATGACGCCGCCCGCAACACCCAATGGCTCGCAGGAAGACCTGGCGGCCGACCAGCTGCCACCGCCGGTCTTTCACAACTTCCTGCGAGCCTTTTATCCTTTCCATCCAAGCTATGCCATGACCGACTCGAGCGTTACTCTTCCATTGAACGAAGGAGATGTTATTCTGGTGCACTCAATTCACACCAATGGATGGGCTGATGGAACCCTGCTGGTATCAGGCGCAAGAGGATGGCTTCCAACCAACTACTGCGAGGCATATGACCCGGAAGAGATGAGGAACCTGTTGAAAGCACTGCTCAACTTTTGGGACCTTTTGCGAAGCACATCAGTAAACGACAGCGAGATTTTCGGCAATCAAGAATTCATGAAGGGTATCATCGCGGGAGTACGCTATCTGTTGGTAAGCTTTTGACTCTGTGCTACGCCCGCTCCTGTTGCTGCTTTACTCACACGAAGAAAAGGAACGCACGCACTGCTTGACCAGGGAGTCGGCGATCATAACCCGCAACGAAAGTCTACGGCGCGCACGCAAGACCTTACTTTCCGAGTTGTCGGCCTTAGTCAAGACGGCAAAGCGTTTGCAAGAGGCCCAAAAGGGTATCGCCAATCCGACAGAAGATGTCAACGACATCATTGACGAAATGATCCTGAAAGCTTTCAAGATCGTGACCAAGGGTGTAAGGTTTTTCGACATCCTTGAGGATGATCGTAGGCAACGCGCTCCCGCAGTGACTGTCATGGCTACCGTCATTGAAGAATCCTATATCCCACCGACGCCACCTGCAGATCAAATCAAGTTCGATGCAACTCACAATGCCGCTTCCCGAGGACCGACGAACGGAACACCCACCAGGGGTACGCCCTCACAAACAGGCGATGCGGCACAAACATCAAACGCACCGAATAGCAGGCGGCTTTCGACCCTCCAGTCCCCCGCTAGTCCCAACTCGCACCGCATGTCTCAAAATGTCAAACGGCTGTCATCCAGCATCTCACATCGCGTCTCATTGGCTGGCCCTTCGCCCCTGTCAAGACCGCATCATCTTGTCTCGGAACGCCTCAACAAGAGCCACGATACTTTCTTGTCCCACCTGGGCTCCTTCATTGGCCGTCTGCACCTGCAGTCCCAGTCTCGGCCGGAATTGGCCTTCGCCATCAAACTTTCGGCGACGTCTGGTGGGGAGTTGCTTGCCGTGGTCGACATCGTGTGTGGTCAGAGCACCAGCTCTGATATGCTGGTTAGAGCGAGGGATATGATGTTTGAGCGCATCAGGGAGTTGGTAACAGCGGCAGGTCAGATCATCCGCCACGCAGTGTTCCAGGATGCCGATGTTATCATGCCACAGGACAACAGCTTGTTGTTGATGGCGGCAACAGGTTGCGTGAAGGCTGCCGGTGAGTGTGTAGCCAAGACCAAGTGGGCGATTGAGCGTGTCGGCGACTTCGAATGCGAATTTGAGGCCGGCGAGCTGGGCATCGATCTCAGCGTTCTCGATGTTGCCCTCGAGCCGCAATACCGGAGGCCATCGATCGCACCGTCCGTTGCAGAAACAACAACCACCGAGGCGACCAGTGTCGCGGGGTCGACTAGAAGTTCTGACTCTATGCACTCCGTTGTGCCGCCAACGCCCCACCACCAGCAACGACCGAGTCTCGTCGCCAACGACAAGCCACTGCCTCAACTACCACCCGTCGATGGCAGTGAACCTCTCGGTCACCGACGTCGGCCCTCCTCTCAGAACTCTTCTGCACCTAATTCCCGACCGTCTTCACTTAACAATGAACACATTGCGAACATGGTGTCTTCCGTATCGTCGATGCGGCCGACTCTGCCACCTCTCCCCAAACTATCCACATCCCTGCTCCCGGGAGATGAATACAGCCCCATCGAAAACCAGGATGGCGACTACAATAATTCCTCCCGTGTTGACAGTATGGCTGCCTCGAGCGCGGGCAGCAGCAGCACTTATCTCAGCCGAGACTCCGAGGCCAGCTTAGTCTCTCAAACATCTACACGCGCGACCACGCCCGATCACTCCTTGGCACCAAAGCTGAAGCTTTCCATGTCAGAGCTTAGCAATGCCGGAAGTGCAAACGCCATCAACGAAGAAGTTGACGATGTCGAGTCTAAGCTGCTTGAGAAGACTTACGCTCATGAGCTAATTTTCAACAAGGAGGGCCAAGTCACGGGAGGTTCCCTACCCGCCCTCGTTGAGCGTCTTACAACTCACGAATCTACTCCCGACGCTACCTTTGTGTCAACTTTCTACCTCACATTCCGGTTGTTCAGTAGCCCGCTCAAGCTGGCCGAGACTCTCATCGATCGATTCCACTACGTCGCTGAGGCACCCCACATGGCCGGCCCAGTCAGGCTCCGTGTATACAACGCCTTCAAGGGTTGGCTCGAATCGCACTGGCGCGACGAGACTGACCGCGAAGCCCTTAGCCTCATTGAGCCCTTTGCGGAGTACGAGCTTGGTGCAGTGTTGCCCTCCGCTGGTCGGCGACTTCTGGAACTTGCTCAGCGCGTTGCCAAGGACATTGCCCTCGTCCCGCGCCTTGTGTCTTCCATGGGCAAGACCAACACTTCGATTGCGCAGTACATCCCGGCCGACACGCCGCATCCACCCTTGGCCCTGACCAAAAGTCAGATTCACCAGCTGTTTGCTTGGAAGAACGGCGGCAGCAATCCCACTGTCCTGGACTTTGAGCCTCTCGAGATCGCTCGCCAGCTCACCATTAGACAGATGAACATCTTCTGCTCCATCATGCCCGAAGAGCTTCTTGCTTCTCAATGGATGAAGAAGGGCGGCGTCGATGCACCCAACGTCAAGGCTATGTCAGCTCTGTCTACTGACCTGTCTAATCTCGTCGCAGAGACAATCTTGCAGCACTCGGAAGTCAAGAAGCGTGCTGCCGTCATCAAGCAGTGGATCAAGGTTGCTCATCAATGCCTGGAACTCCACAACTACGATGGTCTGATGGCCATCATCTGCAGTCTGAACAGCAGTACAATCAGCCGTCTGCGCAAGACCTGGGACATTGTTTCCGTCAAGCGCCGCGAGATGCTCCGCACGCTGCAGGCTATCGTTGAGCCCGCACAGAACAACAAAGTTCTCCGGACTCGCCTCCACGACCACGTTCCCCCTTGCTTGCCATTCCTCGGCATGTTCTTGACGGATCTGACATTCGTTGACATCGGCAACCCTGCGACCAAGCAAATTCCTACTCTCGGTGGCGATGGTTGCGAGGAGAATGGCGGTGGTCTCACCGTCGTCAACTTCGACAAGCACACCCGCACGGCCAAGATTATTGGGGAGCTCCAACGATTCCAGATCCCTTATCGGTTGACTGAGATCCCAGAGATGCAGGATTGGATGGCGGCGCAGATTGTGCGTGTCCGTGAGAGCGACCAAGGCAACGTCCAAGTCAGCTACTACCGCAAGAGTCTACTCCTGGAGCCTCGGGAGATGGCTGTGCGAACCCCTATTGAGCCCCAGACCAGCAACACTAGCACCCAGGGCCGCGGCGACCTATTTGGCTGGATGAGCCGAGACCGAGGTGCCCCGACGCCCACACCGATGTGAGGCTACAGACGAAGCATCCCACATCGCGACAACATTTGATCGAACGGACAACATCATTTCCACATTTCCGGCGACATACTTTACCCCTTATTCTGCTTCACTTTTGATACCCAATTTTTCTAACCTCTTATTGAGGTATTATGTCATGAAAAGTTTCGTCCTTAGGATGACACTACACACGGCGTTAATCTGCTTTCTTGCCCTGCACTTCTTGTCTGGGCTTGAGGCCTCATCCGCCGGACCCGAAAACGCGCGGCGCTGGAATCGACTTATCACATTTTTTCTGCATGCTGGGAAATATCTCATTCTCCCTTGTTCGACAGCGACCTGAAGTGGGTTGTTTGTGGATATCGGAGTCATCTACACTCCTTGTTGGATTCGACCTTCACTCGCTCAAGAGTTGGCTGGAGGAAGGATGTCTTGTTCCATTGTGTATCCTATTTTTGGTGGTTTTGGATGGTGGCTGGTCTCTAGATGGATGGACGGACCGGAGTTGATGGTATACCAGGCCAGGCCTTCGTGCCTTCGTTGGACACCGCCGTCGCTGCGGATGATGTGGCAGGCTTTTCCTCGGCGTCTAAAAGACCAAAAAGTGTACAATGTATATGTAGGCTAATCTGCACGGTGCCTCTGAGGATGGCGCAGGAACGGACAGATATCATGAATAGGATACGCATCCTGATGACGAATGAAAGTTCAGAACAAACACCGTACTTGATTTGAACCATTGTGCAATCCGCTATCTGATGAGTTTTGTGACATTCCCTGTCCAGCTACGTGAGGCAATCTCCAAGTGGGCTCTCCCAGAGTTCCCAACCCCACATCGTGTGATGGCCGTCGACGTGAGTAGAGGGTCGGCTCCACCGGATGCCCACCGAATGTAGACCTCCACTGCAACAAATTCTTCATCAACCCATCCGATATGGTGTAGTGGCCAACATGATGCCCTCTCATCTCCAATGAGAGGCAAGGCATAGCCCCGAGTTCGATTCTCGGTTTCGGAAATGAGTAACACCAGGTCGTCCTCGGTCTTTTTTTGGTTGCCATGATTTTTGTGGGCGGGGTTGCTTGTTGACTTGTTCGCCATTCCTCCGGTCTGACAATATCTCGCCAAGGTAGAGCGACAAATCCTGACGGCACGTAACGTGGGCGAGGCGGTAGCTACAGCTTTCCTATTCAGTAAGCGCCGTTGGTATGTCTGGGCACTAACATTGTACTGTCGACCCGTCCATTGTCTATCAAATTAGGCAAAGATCTCTTGAATGAACGAGGTTACGAAAACCTCTGAACTGATTGGCTGACACCCACGTACGAGAACGTCGTTGGAAGTGTATTGTTTTCGTGTGACTCCAGTTTTGCTTACGCCGTAGATGCCTGTCCTCGCATGCCAGCGTCGTATATCGCGTCGCTGACTGCATGTCGCTCGAGCCAGAATCCTTTCCGGCCCGCAGACATCTGCAGGTGTTTGATCTGATCATTGCAGCCGACTCCGCGTCGAGAGGGGATGGTGGATGGTTACACGTAGCCAAAGGGTTTCCTGCTGCGGCATGCTATGATGTTAGCACGACCAACTGTGACCCAACGATAGATCGGCCGTTGAATCACAATGTACATTCAAGGAGCCTGCTTCTAGCTGTAACGTCGGACGGTCATCATAACGGTCATCTTGCGTGGGGAATTTCGGTATTGTCCAGTCGGGTATGGGGAAGAGTGCCGATGTCACGATGTGATGCGAGTGAGATGTCGTGAGCCGCGCGAGTAGGTGCTTGGCGGAGGTTACGCGAGCTTCGATGGCGATGATGTCGATCAGGTTGCCGAGGAGGATGGATAAGCATAAAAAGGAGCGTTGACGAGGGGGTAATTTGCTTTCCGAGGGACGTCGTGTGAGGACTTCTCAACTCTCTGCCCTTGACCACATCGTATGATCGCGTGATCGCATCCCTCTCTCCTTGACGACTCGCTCTTCAACAACAAGAGACATCGCCACCATCATGAGCCTCATATCCTTCTTCGGCTCCCCAGCCGTCTTGCTTCTCCCCGCCGTAGTCCTGCTCTACTTCCTAACCCAATGGATCCTCCAAACACGAAGACCACCCAACTTCCCTCCCGGCCCGCCTCCCATCCCAATCCTCGGCAACGCCCTCCAACTCCCGCCCAAAAAGGCCTTTTTCAAGTTCCAGGAATGGAGCAAGACCTACGGCGACATCCTCGGCATCAAAATCGGCACCGAAAACTACGTCATCCTCTCCAGCGCAGAACACATTAGAGAACTATACGAGAAGCGAGGCGCGATATACTCGGACAGGCCACAGCCGTACATCACGAGCACGCTCATCAACCCCGGCACGATCCTGTTTATGAATAACGATCATCATATCAAGAAGCTGCGCACGGCGCTGCGGAATCACCTGTTTGGTCCCAGTGAGCTGAAGCGTGTGGTTCAGGTACAGGAAGCGCACGCTGCTTTGCTGATGAAGATGATTCTGGATGACCCGGGGCAGTTTCACACGCACTTGAGACACTGGGCTCTCGCTACGCCGCTTTCTGTGATGAGTGGGCAGCGCGTCGCGGAGGGAGATGAAGTTGCTTCGACGAAGACGTATTTCGCCACGCAGGATGTGTGGTTGCGGTTCCTCACGCCCGCGCAGGCGCCGCCGGTGGATTTGTTCCCCGTGATGAAGTATCTTCCCGCTTTCCTCGCCGGGTGGAAGCGGGAGGCGGCGACGTTGAAGAAGGGGATGTTTGGGACGATGTACCACATGCTCGACGGGGCTCAAGCGCAGGCTGCGGAGATTGCGAGCGGCAGGAGGGGGAAAGAGACGGAGTCGGTTATGGCGAGGATGATTCGGGAGGGGGAGGCGAGTAAGGCGTTCGGTAAGGGGCCGACGTATGGGGATCATGAGCTTGCTGTTTTGGGGGCGGGGACGTTGGATGCTGCTGTTGATACTGTTATTGCTACTACTAGTGCTGTTGTGCTTATCATGGGTGCGTATCCGGAGATGCAGAGGCGGCTTCAGGAGGAGGTTGATGATGTTTGGCCTGGGGAGGCGCCTGGATTTGAGGATCTTGGGAAGGCGAGGTATCTGAGGGCTTGTTTCAATGAGGTAGGTCTTCTCTCTTCTGCTGGCTGAATCTTCTTTGAAGTTGAGAGAGCTAATGAGGATCGATACCGCAGGCCATGCGCTGGCGCACCGCTGCGCCGTCAGGTGTCCCCCGCGTCCTCGCGAGGGAAGACACCTACCTTGGCTACACGTTCCCCAAGGGCACGAGGTTCTTGACAAACACGTACGGGATCCACAAGGACGAAGCGTGGTACGACCGGCCGGACGAGTTCCTACCGGAGCGGTACATGGACAATCCGTGGGGCGTGCGTCCGGAGCTGGCGGCGGCGGCGGAGCGGGAGAAGAGGCACCCGACGTACAATTTCGGGGCGGGGCGGCGGATGTGTCCCGGGCTGGACTATGCCGAGAACCAGATCTTGGTGACGATTGCGAAGCTGGCGTGGGAGTTTGATGTTGTTCCTGCGCGGGAGAAGAGGTTGGATACGAGTATCGAGACTGGGTTCCATTCTGATCTTGTTATGGGGCCTGAGAGGTTTGAGGTTGAGTTTGTGCCTAGAGGGGAGGAGAGACGGAGAGCGATTTTGGAGGATGCGGTGAGGGCTGAGAAGGTTGTTGAGGCTTGGATTAGTTAGATGTGAGAGATATGTCGGTGTCTTTGAGATGGTTTATTAGCACGTGGGATCCAGGGGCACATCTCACACTGCTCATGATGTTACGCATTCACTACATCGCTACAGCTTTGTGTTTGAGAAATTGCTTGCGACCATTAGTGAGATGAAATAGATGCTCATGAACTACGAGTCTAGTCATTGAAACTCTGTATCAGTCTTGCTCATCGAGACAAATGATAAAGGACATCTCCGTGAATCGGAAATAAACTACAGTATACTCAGTGACGATAGCATCGAAGTTATGATGAGCTTGTCACAATGTATATGCTGACAATTTCACTAAATTTATCGTTGAGTATATGAGAGTGAGAGGATAAGCATGAGCTTAGTGATCAGATGGCCGAATGTCAGGCGGCAGACATTTTATGAACGACAAGCATACTAAGCGATTTTAAGTATCCAATGATATACGTCTCAATGAATGTCTTCTACCTTCACTTGCGAGAGACTCGAGTGATGAGATTATTAGCGCTAGTCAAGTCTCGTGAAAAATGTGACGATTTGACTTGTGAACGATGAGCCCGAGCTTGCGCAGATGTGATGCTTTCGATCCATCTGATAATCGTCGATCATGCGTTGCCGTATATCCGGGCCCCGGGCTGTTTGGCTCACAGCGATGGGATGATGATGAGCGGGAGGGCAGTCTCGTGAAATCCCTTCGTCTTGTTCGTATGAGCGCAAGACTTGTCGTACTGAGTACGCGTATTGAGTTCCACATGGAGAAACCGGTGCCTGCCAAGAGATGGGTAAATCCAATCGGGAGGCGGCAAAGGCAGTCCTCAACGGTCCTTCATTGACAATCAAATGGCATTGAGAGGTTGAAAGAAGCCTTGTCGGACCGGCCCGTTGACTGTGCATGAGGTCAATTAGTGCTGGACAGACGGAACCCGCGGCTTGCTGCTGTTACTTTTTGCATCCCATCTCAGCTGTGCTCCAGCCTCAATTGTGCCTTGCTGTGGTTGCAAAAAAAAAAAACAAGGCCTGCGCCGCTTTGGCCGCGTGGATTCTGGCCCCCGAAGAGCTCCTAGAGAGCAGCTCGATGTCGCATCGTGGATTTGATTGGTCGAGTTGAGGCGCGGTGCAGCTGGAAATTAGATTAAAAAATTGTTAATGCGCCTCCACGTGTCGGTCAGCCCGAACCCGCGGCCATCGAGGCCCATCGGATCGAGGCAGTGGATTGTCGTCGTGGGCACCGATGGCAAGTTTCGCAATCGGTAATCGTGTTGATTCTGCCTTGGTTTTGTTTTCCTTATTGTTTTCTGTTGGTCGAACTCCGTACTTTGCCGTGTATTCCGTCCTCCTGTCCAAAGGCCTCCCATTTGTAAGACGCCCAGCCTTTGCTCCCACCCCAATTATTTCCCTTTTCCCCTTCCAAGATCTGACGCCCCAATTCAACCAACCAACAAACAAACAACTCCAATTTGCCTGTCTGTCACTGTTCGCCGTTCCTTGTTGCGCCGGAGCTAGCAAACCACCCCCAATTGGCCGCTTATCGGCGCTGACTTAATCCTTCCTTCCTTCCTCCCCCCGCAACCCGACTTCACACACACATTTGACCCCATTAAATCCGCGCCGCGCCGTTGGGATATCGCAATGTCACAACCGGGATCCGACGAGGAAGGGAAGAGAAAGCGGGACAAAGTGGGAGAGTTTCTGTATGCGCGTCATCTTTTCCCATTTTATGCACTTTACGCATCTCGCGACCCCTCCCCCATTCCAGCCCTACGAGGCTCCAACCCCTCATTCTCAACCATCGCTTGACTACACCGCCATGCTCGCCGCCAATACTCGAGACAATTACGCTGACTCAATGACAGGAAGAAGAATTACAATAAAGGTGAACTCGCCTTGAAGCATGCCGTCGGCTTGGGTCAGACCCCCAATGTCGTCCCTGTCACACAGCCCGTCATCAATGGCCCCTCACGGGTCGTTGAAGTCGGCTGGCATCCTGTCGGTGGCCTCGCCGGCAAGTGGTTCGCCGAAGAAACGGGCCTGGGGAAGATGATTACAGAGAAAATCAACAAGTATCCCGATCCCACTCAGCACTGGGCCGTCCTGGTCGGCGACTACGCCCACCAGCTGTGGATGGTAAGCCCTCTCATCTCACTCACTCACTCACCGCTTCCCATTCATGACCTAACCCACCCCATCTAGGATGAGAGTTTTCACGTCATCTATACCAATGAGCGATACAAGCGCGAGGAATGGCGCACTTTCACCGTCGGCGAGACAACCTTCAACGACGACGCCATCCGTCGCGCAGGCGAATACGTCATTCAGAGCATCAGATCACGGCAGCCAGCCTACAACCTCATCACCAATAACTGCCAAACCTACGTCCTGGAACTCCTAGACGCCGTCAAAGTCGACGGCCACAAGGACTTTGGCACCACGCTCGCCGTGTACGAGAGACTCTTCAGCTCCGGCAAGGTCATCGACCTCTTCTCAGACGAGCAGAAGCAGGAGCAGCAGAACCAGCTACCGATGCTCGAGGCCCCACCACAAAGCTACGCTCTACCGCCGTCACCTGCATCACCGCCCCCCGGCGGACCGCCAATGTCGTACACGTTCCCGCCACCGCCCGGACAGAACCCTTATCCGCCGCAGTATCAGTACGGACTGCCTCCGCTACCGCCGCCTCCGGGTCCACCGCCTCCCGGGCCGCCGCCTCCAGGTCATCCGGGCCCTCCACCACCGCCGCCACCACCACGTCCACCAGCGGGCCCGCCGCCGGGTCCTCACCCCGGAACTGTCTCGCATGCTCAACAGGTCATGAACGACAACACGACGCAGCTCGATACCCAAGAAGAGGCCAGCAAGTCGAGGGGTCTCAAGAAGGAGAAAGACAAGGACAAGGAGCCGAAGAAGAGTTTCTTCTCTCGGTTTACCCGGAAATGAGCAGAGTCAGTGGGGCGTTGTGTGTTTTGCCGTTTTTGCTGTCATTTTCTCCAAATCATACCCTTTCACGGCCTTTTCTTAATGAAGTCCGGAAGACCCGGAAACGATACACATAGAAGCATTGGGGGCGAGCGGCGTTTTGAGGACAGATGTAGGCCCAAAGAAAGCATTGGTCGTTATTTTACATTATGTTCTCTCGTCGTTGATCGAGAGTTGGATGCCGGATATCGTCGACCTTTGACCCCGCGGCAACTCTCCCCCGGATCTGCCCCTCCTTGACTGACCCAACTGGCCCTGACCACCACATACGACCACACCCACTGGAGAACTCGGGATCCCGTCCGCTCTCCCATAGATAAGCCAGTGAGGGCCAGACTAGTAGTTGGGTCGGTGACGACCAGCGAATCCCTGGTGTTGTATGTCTTTTGATTTTTTGGCTGAGTTTTTGGTATTCACGGAGATCGTGAGTTGCATTCGGATGTGTCCCTGGCGAGTATGATTAATGAGACCACCACTTCCTTTTGGTTGTAGTAGATCTAGAAAACCACCATCAAGCAATGAAAAATATGATCCCACCCGATACATACCACGAATAGTGTATGCTGAGAGGATCTCTTTACTAGATACTATCTTGACTACACGTCCCTACGTGGAAAACAAGCCTCAATTGCCGGGTCTCGAACTTTCCCCTGATCCCACAATGAGGCTTCTACTTATGGCGGGTCTGAAATACTCAAGGCCCATAGTGTTGCTCTCAACAGTGTCCATAAACAGCTCCATTCCCGAGAGACAACGCTTCGCACGTCTGAGCTTGGTGACCAATGCTCTGCGATGGGACTTGAATAGGGTTGGGACGATAACGTCTCATGCCAAGTTTGGAAATCAAAATATTGTTGTCTTGCAGAAACCTGCGTTCTGAAGTATCGGAACTTCTGAGATTTCCAGTGGCACTTGGAGTTATCCCCTGCCCATTAAGGAAAACGTGATACATAAGGCTTCATCCGGCAGAGCTTTCTGTGATCGCTATTTCTACTGCCACATTGCGAACTCTAGAGCGAGCTCGTCTGAGCATGCGGTGTCCACGAGCTTCGTGTTGAAGCCGTAAGAGTGCGAGTTTGTGACGGAGGTGTTCTAACTGGAACACAGTCGCAGATGGGAGGGTCTGAAAAGCCATACTCGAACGTCTCATGAAGTAACTCATGTCTTATAGAATCCACACAGATTTAGTCATTCTGAATTAGACTCTGGCCACCCACTGTATAATACATTTTACTTCGGTGTTGTTGAACTTCCTGTTCTCATGTCATACCGAGGTAGCCCAGCCCTCTATAACACTATGATGAAGCCAAACCTGAGAACATGGGCACTTGTCACCGGATAATACCACAGGAGGCCTCTAAGAAGATGAGACATAGTATGTAACCTGTAAATACGCACTAAGATACTTCGTAAATATTGTAGTTTCAGTGTGGTTTCCAGGAAGAACTGCACCTCAGGGAGGGAATATGCGAAAGTGTTGTCATACCTTCCATACCTTACCAAGGTGAGACACCGAAAGCCCAGCAGTTGCTACATAGCTTCTCTTTATCTCGGTTAACTACATGCTTTGGAAGACTGGCGGTTGCAGCTTAGAAGATCTTGATGGCGTGATGGAGGCGTTAGGATCAAGGCCGGAGGTCGCCTTATGCTCATGGTGACCACGCCTCTGCTGGAAGCAAATCGCGAAGCGTAAATACAACAGACTCATGTCTGCATTTTCCACCAATTGCACATGTTTCTCTTATGCTTTGAGCACTGAGGGGGGGCATCAGCAGGAATCCGGGGATGCATGCCCTCCCTCACTGAAGCTCGATAATGAGCGAATGGTGGGAAGGCGGCACACAATCTGTGCGAAGTTGAACACCATTATCGTCTTTTCACGAACGTAATGCTATCTCTGACATTAGGAATTGTGATTGATTACCGATTTGGGGTTGAGAAAGGCAGGTTCGCATTGACCCGCCGGCGGATTGTCGTTAAGAGCCTCACACAGAATCTTATCATAATACTTGTTCCGTTCCCAGGGTGTAGCTCATCCCCACTTCCTTCTTCAGCTTCAGATCCTTCACCATCGTTGATTATTATCCTCAGGTTAACACGGCAGGTATTGATCTCGCACACATAGCAGAGAGTGTGCCGGGCCAAAGTCTATCACTACACCAGATCAGCTCCTTAATCCTAGGCGTCTGGTTAACAGTTGTCCAGGAGAAGTCCTGGGCACTGACCAGTGCTCCACGAAAGCCCGGCCACGCTTTGGCTGAGAGTCCATTATCGCCTGTGAGTGATGTGGCTGAAGACCGACTCGGAGAAATGGACTGAGATGTAAATGTCACAGGTTAGTATATTATCGAGAACACCCGTACCAAAGTCCAACTCCAGATTCGCCTTCTAGAGATACGTTGCATGAATTAGGGTATGTTAATCGTCGGAGGCTCGTAGAAAGCGCTAGGCACAGTACTCGGTAGGACTGGGTAGGCCCTGCTCGAAACATGAATTGACCTTGTTTGACGCCGATCTCCGCTCGAGTAGGCCAAAATTTTGAAGGACATACTTGATTCTCTGGTTATGCTTATGCTGATTGCTCCGAAAGCTGTCTGGAACGAGTATATGTGAAAATTCTTCCAGTGATTTACGTTCGAAAGTGAAAGATGGCGGCTTCGAGATCAATCGATGAGCTTCGAATCCGCCATGAAGTGATAGCGACTCTAGTTTGAAATGACGGGGAACGAACACGATGTACTTCTAAAGTCAAGGGTTTCTCTTGGACATGGAAATTCGTGTACATCATGCATATTTGATGCCCCCTGAAGCTCTGTTCGGGCACAAGCTAATGTTAAGTTCTGGAATTGAACGTCGCCTGAGAGTGCATACATGCCTTGGAGCGGTTTGTTGCAGCGTAATAATGAACGAATTTCTACATGTAATTATATTGATACGCCCATCATGTCACGGGCTACATGTCTACCTTTCGTCACAGAACTGGCTACGTTGATTCAACTAGCACTCTAGATTGCATCATCTCATTATGCGTTAATGAACCTTTTTGACATTTTAAATTTATTGAAAATCTACCAATATTGAATATATTGGAGACTAAACAATCAATTCAAAGAGTTTCTAGGCCCTTATTAGCTCTATCCTGCCATTCGCGAAAATGAGGTCTACTCTCAATGAGTGAGATAGCCGAATCCATAACGAGAACTAGACGTTGATACTGTTTTGGTCTTTTAATAGAAGACTCTAAGAGCGATATATATAGCTGGACTGATACTTTAACAATTTCAAGTGTTTCGTAGACAACCAGGAGTGCTTTTGTGACTTGAACACGAAAAGGGATCGAGCTCTGGACTACGTCAGAGTCCTTGCCTTTGAACGGGACTGAGTGCGAGGGAATCCATGTTCGCTAGGTATTGTGGAAAAGACAAATCATATATGAGTCAAAATAAATTTAGGTGCTCAATCAAAGGCGAATGCCGGTAACAATTCCCTTCTAACTTCTGCTCCCTCGAATGTCCAAATCAGAGCAATTAATTATATTCAACGTCAAGTGTTATGGGTCGTCCTACAGGACCAGTTGCCATCGTCAACAATCCTCACTCCACGGTCCGAATAGCCAAGAAGATTAGCTATTGTCCACATCCCGGAAGTATATCTAACATATCCCTCGGTATTCAATGGGATCAGGTTGTACTATGGCTAGTTGCCACTCTTCGTATGTCATCCATAGGTGATGTTCATCGGCTCGTCCGATCTCACGTCAACAGGAGGCTGGCCTGCTTCACGCGCTACAACACTACAACGCACAATGGTACACCGTCCTTATCTTCGTCAAGACTGGTTGCATCGAGACCTGGACAGGGATCCCCAAGATAGGAAGGCCCACAACTCACTCTCGTACATCTCGTTTTGGGAACGAGCCAAGGGCCCACAGCCATAGCCGACATAAGGATGACTGCATGAGTCTCAGTCGCTATGTGGAGAAGCGGCACAGCATCTGACGTATCCGACTTCAGAGCCAAGTATTCACATCCACAGGTGCATCGAAAATTTAGAAAGCCGTAGTTCGCAAAGAGATCACCTTGCTAACGTAGAGTAGGCTGGGTCTCATCGGTGTAACGTGATGCTGACCGATCTTACGCTGGGTATTCACAGCTTTATCACCATGGAATGTTAAATCGCTGCCTGGAATGTGCAGCATGGCAATCGCAGCTCTTGATCCAATTCATACCAAGCGCTTTACGCATGTGGTTGGTATATCTGAAGCCAATGAGATTTTGCGCTACTGCAAAGATCTCCATGGGCGCAAGCGTAGCGGCCGCAGCCGCACGGGACGTTAGCAGCCTCATTCGCCGGCACGCGGGAGCTAGAACAGCCTACTCAACACGAGAAACGCCATCTTTTGAGGATATCGCACACCCTCAGGGTTGAACCCCAGTCAGCCTGAGGCATTTTTGCCTTCATGGACTGGACTGCTGTCTTTTTGTCGATACAATGTGTTCAACGACCCTGTGATATCACGGGATTCGAGCACAGCTGGGAAACAGTGTAGACTTTCAAGCTATGACACTGGCAAGTATTATGGTTGCCAAAAGGTCAGCGTGAGGTTCTTCTATACTATTAAGGCACGTTTACTCGATATTCGGGAGGGCGCCAGAATAATGATTGATATCGAATCGGCGTGATAATGCTTGAATACGTTATGATCTGCCGCTCGCTTTCATCACATGTACCATGACCTTGTAGTCCGTGTAAATGAGACTACTGCCAGCGTCGCGCTCCCAAACAAAATCGTCCTGTTCCAGCTGCTGAAGGTCATATCTCCAAAGTAATTTCGCAGCAATAAGTCGGATGCTCTGTTGCGCCATCTCCCTGCCGATACATGCCCTACTTCCAATGAGGAAAGGACGATAAGCGGTCCTGTTGTCCCCCTTGAACTCGGTGTCTTCCGCACCATCGAGCCATCTCTCGGGGCGGAAGCTGGCGGGGTCTACGAAGTACTCCGGCGATCTTTGGATTGTGTATAGATCAGCGGAGACTGTGGTACCGGCAGGGATGTGCACCCCATCTATGGTGCATGAGGGAGCAGTGCGCTGTGCCGTTTTGCCGTTTGCGGGTGGAAGCAACCTCAGGGTCTCTCGGATACAGGCGTTCAGGAATGGTAGCCTGCTAAGGCGTGCTCCTGTGATTTCTTCGTCACTGGCAAAGGTCGAGCGGATCTCGAAGCAAACTCTGTTATACGCCTCAGGATAGCGCAAGATGTGGTAGAAAGTGGCGGACAGTGTCGTAGCTGTTGTCTGGTATCCGGCCAGGCTGCGGTATGTCTAAGCAAAAGTCGCATTGA